GGGCTGCAGGATTCACCTCCAGAGCCCCCAGACTAAGGTCGTTGTTTGGAACATCTCCAGAGCTGCCATATTCCCTTTTTTGGGGGGAAACTAATGAAATAATGCTACTCTTTAGTGAGTGTTTTTTCCTAATAACTAGGTTTGTCCCTTCTGTCTCATGAGATCACACCAGGTTCTTTTTGAGTTCAGTCTCCTCTTTAATTATTAACACAATTCCTAAATATTTCAGTAGGTGCTAACTATCTCTGCTCAGGAAAACACAGCATTTGCTCCAGTGCTCCATCCACCTCGGGCCCCTCCATCCCTGTGTCCTGCCTTCGGGAACAGCCGCACAGCTCGGGGTGGAGCTTCTCACGGGATGAGGGCACAGGACACAGCTCCCGGGACACGGGGAGGGGTCGCAGGGCCCGGGGCATCTCCATCCCGGGGGCTGCTCCGGGCCGCCCCCCCGGGGCCGGGATCCCGGGCGGCGGCGACATCCCGCCGCGTCCCCACTAGATGGAGCGACAAACCCAGCCTGGAGCCGCCGCCGGGCGAGCCCCGCTCCCCCCCAGCCTCCCAAGTCCCAGCTGCGGGGTCCCCCGGTGCCCAGGGGGCTGCGAGGTTCGCCCCCACCCCGGCAGGAGCCAGTCCCGTCCCCGCATCTCCCCCCGGGAGCAAAAGGGCTGTGCCGGGGGAACAGCCCGGGGCGGGCTCGCACCTACCGCGGGTGCTCAAAGAGGCAGCCAAGGCATCGAGCAGATGCTTCACCACGTGGGAGTGGGTTTTGCCCGGTGTTGTGAGCTGAAACTCTTCACTTGGCGCAGGGGGAGGAGAAGAGGTGATGGGAGAGCGCTGGGAAGGAAATGAACGAAGGAGAAGGGGATGAAAGGGAAACAGGAAGCGAGTGGAATGGGGCCACGCTGATGAAGTAAATCCATGTTGCAGAGAAGTTCCCTTTTCTATCCACATGGCCCCATGATGGAGCACAGCAGGATGGAAACAAGTGCCCTGTCTCAGGACACAAAATGGAGCCAAGGTGCCACAGTAGCCCAGGGTACCAGTGGGGAGGTTAGAGCTGTCCCCTTCCCTGGCTCAACAGGAGACCAACAGAGAAGAGCCAAGGATGAGGGAAAGGAAGGAGAGTGGGAGGGGAAGAAACCGTGGATGGAGCTGTCAGGGCTCTGGGAGATTCTCCAGGGCTCCAGCTCTACCTGTGAGCTGCAGGGCTGGAGAGGACACAGCTTACTTGGGAAGAAATGAGGAGGATTTTGGGGCACTACTCCTAGTGCCAGAAAAGGAAGAACCAGAGCGGGAGGGAGGGAGGAAAGAAGAGGAAGAACTCAGTGCTCCATCTGCAGCCAGGACTGCCTCAGACCTGTAAGGCAGCTCCACTTTGCTATTTAAAACCTGTCCAGGGAGTGCTAATGAACCTGGCTAATGAACATCAGCCGTGGTAAACACAGCCTGGCTCATCCTCACCCCAAATCACCCTGCAGCTATGCAGAGCCCCTGGGGCCGGGGTTGTTTGTGTGATGTGGTGGGGATGTGGGTGTGCTACAGCCCACCTTGAGCAGGAGGAGACTTGGGCAGCTGTGGGGTGTGCACCCCAGTGCCCAGGGACCCCCAGATGGCTGCTGCAGCCTGTGTGCTTCCCCTGGAGTAGCCCAATCCCAGATTGCATCATCACCACAGTTTTGCTGAATGTGCCATTCTTTCCCCTGCCCCAGCTTGTCTCCAAGGGACCTGAGCCTCCTCTGCTTTGCCCTTGCAATCCTGGGAAGAGGAGCATGGGCAAAGGCAAAGGCTGTGACCACAGAAGAGGTTCAGCAGAGACAGATGGAAACCTGGTGGCTGGCAGATCCCATCCTGTCCAAATAGACAAGGGGGCCAAGTGCCACCAGGATCTGCAGCAGCCCAGGGACACCTGATGTGTCCCAGCCCAGGGAGGGGGCAGGTGGCAGTGATGATGCTACACTCCAGGAAGCCAAACTTCCCTGAGCTGCAGCCTGGACCAGGACTGATTTTAGGTACAAAAACCAGAGGATCTGGGACAAGGGTGTGATGAGTCTGACTTCAGCAGCACCAGCAGCCTCTCCTGTGCTGCAGGAGGTGCAGAGGCCTCGAGGTCTCTCCAGACTCCTCCACAAGCCTCACAGCACTCCTGCCCGGCCCTGGGGGTGAGGATGGGGTGTGGGGGCTGGCAGGAAGGAGCCCCTGTCCTTGCCCAGGGTGTGCATCTCACCTCACCATGGAGGAGAGCCAGGCAGTGCCAGGGCTGGCAGGCGCTGCAGTGGGAGCACAGCCAGGGGGTTATTAATAACCTGCTGAGTCAGGGGGGGCTCTTGGGTTTCAGGATCACAAGACACAGACGCCGAGCGGCTCAGATGGATCTCCCTCGTTCCTACTTTTTACATTGACAGGAACAACTGCTAACCCAGCCTTGCTCTATCTGCAGGGCAGCCCGGCCCCATCCTGAAAGTCACTGTGCCCAGCAGGGATACAGGCTGAGGACTGGAGCTGCTACGTCCCCAAAATACAAGAGCTGCCCTAAAGGAATTAAACAAGGAGGGCAGAGCTGAGACACACAGCGTTGATCAGCTGTGTTAGGAGATAGCAGCCATACCAGCCCCGTTCCCACCAGTATAACCAAACCACATCAGGGAGAGAAAAATGAGTACCACAAGCTTCCCATCCTGCTTCCCTGCAGAGTCCTCTCTGCAACCCCCAAAAACGCTGGGCCTGGCACGCTGCTCCTACCCAAAGGGATGGAGGCAAGGAGCTTGTGAGATGCAAAGAGAATTTGGAGAATCTTGCAGACATGCACATTGTACTGTCTAATTCCAAGAGTTTTGCAGGGGGTGAAAAGCCTCAGGGCAGCTCTAGCAAGTGTGAGACAGGATCAGATCTCCCAGCATTGTCCCATCCCGGCTGCCACAGGTCGCCTGGGTTCCTCTTCAAGCTCTTGACATCATCATACAGACAGGCTGAGGTCTGCTCTGGGATGGTAACTCCTTATGCACCGCTATGGAAAAGTAGCCTGTGATGTGGAACAGATTAACTTTCAGATGCAGCAGCCCGTGGTAGCAGCGTGCATTGCAACCGAGCAGTTTCTGCAGCAAATACTGTGCAAGAGCAGCTGGAGTGACAAAAGCCATCTCCAGGTCTGAGCCTGCCCCTCAGGGGTGCTGTCAGAGCAGTGGGGGTGCAGGGACCCCTTGCATGCACATGAGCTCCCATCGCTCGCTGCTCTGTGTGCTGGGATCCAACTTCCCCGAGCTCTTTAGGGCTGTACAACACACTGGTGTGGGGTTGCTGCCCTGTGGTTTTGCCTGGCCCCACTCCCCTTTCCCCATCCTACCCACGGGAGTGCTGGAACACCTACTGGAAGGGAGAGCACCCCTGCTTTTGCTGGCAGTGTGCTCCAGGCTGGCAACATCTCCACCAGCTATTTTTTCACCCAGGACAGGACCAAAATAAGTCTGTCCCACCCCTCCCCAGCAGCTGTCACAGACATCACCCCGGCCACGCCGGGTGTTCCCTGGCCCCTCTGCTGTCACAGTGCTCAAACCCCGGCGCCTGCAATTGCTGTTGCTGTAGCTGCCACTTGCAGTGGCTGAAATAAGTGAAGTGCTGAAGCTCTGCTGTGTCCCCGGAGAGGTCTCATTTGGTTGTATCAGGCTGCCTGAGCTGCTGAGCCCCGTTCATTTCAATTAGCCCGATAGCTCTCCAATCCTATTTACCTTTATGAATGTGTGAGCATCTCGCTGCTTCCCACAGCAGTGCAGATTAAAGGGTGAGTGAGGAATACATGCCATGTGATATCAGACAATACACCCGTTGCGAGGCCGACCCACAGCAGTGTATTTCCTGCAGTGAGTAAACTGAGACACAGATAAAGCCGTATGGAAGGGACACCAAGCCTGCAGGGCTAACCCACAGATTAGCCACGAACCCAGTCTGTGCCTTTTGGTTTTAAACAAAGCACTTTACCTTTCAGACGATGCATCTTTTGGCAGATAAAAGATGCATTTCTTGGCAGAAAAGCCTGGAAAGGCTGCAGTCCCACAAGACTCCTTTTTGACTAGGTGCTCCCTCCCAGCAGGACCTGTCCTTAGGTCCATGTTCCTCACTTGGATTTTAACAATCATTTACCATCTCAACACATTCCAACACTTAAATAGGCTCCTTGAGAGGGAGAGATAAGGTATCAGCTTTCCGGTTCATCTTGCCAGTCTGTCTGCAGCAGATAAGCATGTTGGGCAGCAGGAAAAAGGTTATCTAGAAAGGAAGCTGAGCAACGGTTGCTGTTGTTGCAGGAGGCTTTGAAAAAAAGTCACCCCACCAGGAATCCCACAAGCCATACAAGCCCTTCCCGGCGGGACATGATTGATGGTTGGAGTCCAGCTGTGCCTTCCTCCCGGGGTGGGAGGCATCTTCCCATCCGGTGAGGGCAGAGCTGCCGAGGTCGTGCTCTCCCAGGGAAGGTCACACCAGAGGCAGGTGCCCAAAAACCTGTTGCTTTCCCTCTCTCCTGCCCTGCCCCTGCTCCGAGGAGCAGCAGCTGGAGGGGTTTGGGTTGGTGTTCCTGCTGCCCCTTCAGCACATTTGGAATGTTTCTGGGCTGAGGAATCTGCAAGAGGGAACTTTCCTGCCCAAAGCTGAGGAACTGCTGTTCTGAGTTGTGCATGGGGTCCCTGGAAATCAGCACTGATCTCTCACCCATCAGCAAGGAGCAACAATAGGAAAGAGTTTCTGAGAATTCCCAGCCTTTCTTAACCCAACTATCACTTTGCTTTTGGGGGTGGGAGAGGAGAGACAAGCCACAGTGGGATGGGTGTTCATTTACCACCTAGTGAAAGATGTGCCTTTCCTTTGGATGACTGTTTGTGATTTTATCTTCCCACCTGTGCTTTGTTTGCTTGTTTGCAGATGTAGAAATTATCTCTGTCAGCTAGAAAAAAACCCAAACCAAACCACACCAAACAAAAAAAAAAAAAAAGGAAAGAAAACAAAGAATGGAAAAAACAGCCATTTCCAGTCAAATTCCCAGACCCTGCTGTCTTGTTATCACCCAGGGACAAAAGACCCCTGGTTGCAGACCTGCTGGTTCAGGAAATGTTCTGAATCAGGGACTGCAGAACGATAACTGGAGCAAATCCTGCCAGGAAGTGCTCTGAATCCACTCAGCCACCTTCTCTTCCCTCTGGACCTGCCACCTCCCTCCTGCCTCCCCTCCCAAGACATCCTCACCTCATCCCTCCCCATGCTCCTCTATTTTGCTGATTCCCATTAATCTGTGTTTTATATAACCCCTGGCTTGTGCTGGACACAAAAGTGATGCATTACCATGCTATTAATACACAACCTAAGGTTTAGGATTTAGAGAACATAAAACTCCCTTTGCAGCCAGGGGATGCAATCCATGACAAACCAGCGCTGGCAGCTCCAAGTGCAAATCCCAGTGGAGAGAGGGCATCAGCTCTGGGTGCAGTGGACCCACACCCAGATATCAGAGGCTGATTCCCTAATCACCACTGCTTTGAGTGTGTTTAAGTACTGCACAGCTCCTTGGCTGGAAGCAAACATCACCGAATGTCCAGGGCACTCTGAGCTCTGGGCAAGTGTTTCGTGAACATCCATCACTGTAGCTCTCAACTTCTGTTCCCACTGCTCTTATTTTAATTAATTTCTGCAGGTCTGACTTTCCAGCACTGATGGTCTTGCACAAGGCTGCTGGTCCTGGGAGAAGAGAGGAAGTGAGAGAGGGTCCCATGGGCGAGGTTGTACTGAGGGGTTGGGAACTCAGGGCGGGTTCTGGTGAGTGGAAACCAGCTACACCTGTTTGAAATGCATTAGAAAAACGGGGACATATCCCTGTGCAAAGCCCACTCCATCCTTTGGAGAGGCTCAGACGAACAACACTGTAAAGGGAAGAGCACTGGCCAGCAGCATTTGTCGCAGGGCTCCTACACGTGACCCCACTCGCCCACTTGCTCTGGAGCCGCCTGGGTGCTTGAAGGAATTTGTCCCAACACTGTAATTAGCAGTTCATCACGGCCAGGCTGTGAACAAAGCGCAGTAATACCACCCAGCCTGCTAAGAACCAGGTATTTTCCAGGGGAAGCCCTGCTTTGGGGGGGGCTGGGAGCCCCCCCGGCCGTTCAGCATCTTCTCACTGCAGCGGGGCTCGGGCACGGCTCAGCCTTGCTCAGGCTGCGAGAGGTTAATGGATTTCAAGCGACTCCTGTGATTAACTTTTCCTAAATCTCCAATTCTTTCGTGCTTTCTATTTTTATAAAAAAAAAAAAGTGAGGGAGGCGGTATTTACAAGGGATTTCACTCAAATAATGAAATAAATGTGATCAGCCGAGGGACCTTTAATCCGCTTTGACTCTTGTGTCCTGGGGAACGAAAGAGCACGAAGACCTTTGCTGCTCCGAGTCCCAGCGAGGCAGGGAGTGAAACAATCCCATCCCTGCCTGTCCGGAGGGCAGAGCCCCAGCAACGCCTTAAATCAAGCACTGTATGCAGGCATAGGCACATCAGCCAGGGACTCTGGGGTCAACACGAGAGAAAAACATTTGCAGGCAATTTGTGTCCATCCTGGGGTGAACTACAGCCACACCTGTGCTACCACAGGGAGACCTTGTGTAACAGCCTTCCTAATTCCCCCTGAATCCTCAAATCCGCCAACCTGCCCTCCCAGTCCATCCAACCTGCACTGCCCCCCCCATCGGCTGCTTCATCCTGGGAAGGACACGGATCCCAGGGACAGCACAGAGGACCCTCCATGACAGAGAGGGCAGCACAGCCCTGATGTGTGAAAGGGTTTGTCCCACCTTCCTTTCAGCACAACCCCAGCCACAAATGTACAAAACAGCTTGTTGGAAAAAAACCACCAGCTTAGGTTGAGGAGGGGAGAACTAAACACCCCAGCCGTGATTCCCACATATGCCCGAAGATATAATCCAGATTTGCTACTTGCCCTGACCCTGGCACCCTTTTTTTTTTTATTTAATAAATTAAAATCTCTTTTTGCTGCTGAGCATAATCAGCATTAGGGTGAGGGGAGGAGGGGCCTTTCACTGTCTGCCAAAGAATCACAAACCAAATCACTGTCTCCACAGCCTGGGACTCTCCCTGTGGCACTTTGGGAGAGCTGATGGCAGCAGCCCCCCACCCATGGGGGTTGAGATCCCTTGGCTGATCACATTTATTTAATTATTGCCTTCTCTAAGGCATTTTCTTAATTAATCTGCTAGATGAACTGAAAGGCAGAAGATGCCATGGTCAGGGTTTGTTTGTTCCTCCTGGTTGGAAAGGTCTTGGCTTGGAAGGATCGCTCCTCCCAAGCCTCATGCTGAGCCCTGTGTGGCTGAATTTGGGGATCTAAAGGTTCAGGGAAAACACTCACATTCCTGGGCAATCCTGAGGGAGCTCAAACCATTTGGCCTTTTGCCTCCCCACAGCCATATGACCATGGTGAGCACACAGCAGACCAGTGTCCTGCCCTGGCTCTCCCAGGACAGATGGGGCCAAACCTCTGCGTGAGCATCAGCAGGAGCTCCAGGAGAGCGGAGAACGAGGCATAAACATGCCTCAGCCACTGGCTTACATGTAACACGTGCCTGCAAAACCCACTGGTGTTTCTCAGAGCCACTGCTAAATCCAAGGTCAGTGGAGAGCAGAGTCAGGTGATGCTCCAGCACATTACACAAAAGGCCACATTCTGACAGTGCTGCTGGGGCTGAGGCCCAGCCCTATCCCTCTGACACCTTCTGAGGGGGGAGAAAGCCCTCCTCAGACCACAGGGCTTTAGGGACAGGCATGCTGCACCCATGCTCCTCCTCACAAGCAGCAACCAAGGGTGAAAGGCAGATGGCATCCACACAGCTCTAGAGCCCAAAGACCGGAGTGACTGTCCTTTCCCTCACACTGCTGTGCCCTTCTTGCCTCTGATCTGGCCCTGGATATCTGTGAATGCAGCACTGGGCATGGAATCCCTCCCCATGCTGCCTCCTGGCTCCCCCAGCACAGCCCAAGGTCATGTCACTGGGACTGAAAGCTGAGGACAGTCACCGCAGGTTGTACCTTGTCTGTGGCAGAGCCGGGTTGTTCTGTCACTGCTCCCCACATGCCCCTGCCCACACAGTTGTGTCCCAGAGGGGCTGGGGGACTCCTGCCTCCCTCCTGGAGGTGATATGTAGCCCAGCCACAGCCTGTCCTGCTTGTTGGGTGACAGGGACTGGCAGGGACAGGGGACGCGGTGCCCGCCATCCCTCGCTGTTGCTATAGAGACAGAAGCTGCTTTTCTCCGCAGAAACGCTGGTTGTTTCTGAGTGGTACCTTCGGCATGGCAGCAGCTGGAGAGAGGGACATGGGATGGCTTGCCTTGCTGGGAGGGCAGCCATGGCCAAGGCAAGGCTCTGCCAGGTCTTTCCCAGTGCCCCTGTGCCCAGATCTACACTCACCTTGTGGGGTCTCTCCCCAAACCCTCCCTGCAGCAAGAACAGAGCACTGGGCACTGAAGTGCTAGGGGAGAAAAGGGACACAGGCTACAGGAAGGCTGAGGAGAAAATCTCCCCAGAGAAACTCTGTTTGGGAGAAAGTCTCATCCTGTGAATCCCAGCTTACCCCCCTGGATCACCCCAACTCACCTCTCTCTGCTCTCCTGCCTTGCTTTGCAACCATGTGCTGGGGTGAGACCAGCTCAGCTGATCTAACCCACCGTGGCAGTTTCTCCAGGCCACGCTCTCCTGATTACACCAGCAAGGACCAGGATAACTCCTCCAAAGCCATGCTGCCATCCTGGATATACCAGGAGAAGATAACATAAGTGCAAGAAAACCCTAACCCAGCAACATGCCTGTAGATTCATCCAGCCTATTTGCAAAGGCTCAGTAAATCCTGGAAATACAAAGTGAGAGCTTCCCACAAAGCCATCGGGGCAAAGTCCTCCCCTGTTCCCTATCCCTTCAGGATCCCACCATCTCCAGCTACACATAGGTGCGTCACACACCATCAGAGCTCAGTGACGTGCCTCCATCCTTCCTGGGGGTGAGGATAAACTTTGCCAAGTGTAACAATGCCTGGAGGGAAGAAAAATCACCACAGCTCACTTCTTCACATAAATCTTCACAGGAGAAGGATATTGGCAAAGAAAAGCCCTGAGGGAGGGCGGCACATCTCTGCTCCCACCCGCAGCAGCAGGAGGGGAGCCGGGCAGCACCCACCACCCCCCGCTGCTCCGCCCGCTGCTGCACCAACCTCCGGGGAGAACCACCGAGACCCTGAGCTCTCCTCTTTCCTGAAAAAACCCAGTGACAGCCCTTCCCAAGGGACAGCCCATCCGTGAGCTCCGTGGGAGGCTCGTCTTCAAAGGACATGGTTGCCTTCCTCACCACGCTTCTGCTCCAGCCTCGGAGCCGGCAGCACGGGAAGTCAGCAGCTCCCAGGGCTCTGTGCTGACATCCCAGCTGGAGGCGCATGCCAGGGATAGATTATCTGTTTTGCTTCTTTTCATATTAATCATCAAAGAGTAACAAATGTCAGCAGCTTGCAGCAGTCATTATCTGAATGTCTTCTTCTCACCAGCTCCTCTAGGAAGCTCCTCAACATGCAGGGAGAGCTTACAGTGCCAGACCCAGCTGGTTGCTTCCTGGCCTTCCAAGCCAGGTGCATTTTGCTCACTTGGGATAGACAGGAGGACAGGGATGACAGGATCCCTTCATTCTGCAGGATTTGTCCAGTCAAGGAAGGTGCTGAGTCTGCTGGTATCCATCACTTGCCAAACATGAAACTCTTCTAAAGACAGAAAAACCACAGAGAACTGGCACATTCTGTTAAAAATATGGGATTTTCTTATGACAGGCATGAGGCTGGATCCATTTCAGAGACACCACGTTGAGCATGGCCATCACCTGGGTAAGGATCCACCAGGTTTCAAGGCGGACACCTGTCAGTAATGGGAAGGAGCAGCACCATGCCTGGGCATCAAACTCTATAAGTGATCTCTGGTTCACAGACAACAATTAGCTCAGGTTTGCAATCAAGGAAGGTCAGGAGTGCTCTCCTCATTTCATACAGGGTAAGACAGAGAAATGTTCAGAATTAACCCCAGTAAGGGGGTTACAGCCAAGTGAACAGAGGCAGGCGCAGGGGCAGCCCTGCCTCCCTGCCCTCAGCTCACTGACACTGCTGGGTGCACCAGAAACAGGCACTGCTGTACCAGGCTTACCTCGGAAATTCCCATCTACTGCAGCATTTGGCACAATGATAAAATCATGGCCGTGAAGAGAAAGAAAAAGACCTTTTTCTGCACATCAAGACCTGCTTTGTAAAATGACCACGATCCAGCACAATGTCTATTCATCCCCACCAGGGTGAAAGTGGGCAACTTGCATGTGTCCCTTACCAGACCAAAAACTCCCCCCACATCCTCACAGAGCAGGTTTTCCTTCAGAGTCCTGAGCACCCATCCAGGTCCACGCTACCCAATGCAAACCCTGTGAGCCATCACTTGCATCCCCTCAGTCAGCAAGACTGCAGGACCTGCTCCTCACTGAGTATGTATCTCAGAGCCACAGCAGGGTGGGTTTGTCCCTTCCCTCACGATAAGAACCAAACAGGGCAGGATTTTTATGATTATTTATTATCTGTAAAGTGCCAGCATTGCCTGTCCTGACTCTGTAGAAGACACAACTGCTGGGCTTACAAAAAGAAAAAAAGCACAGTGGCCAAAATCATTTAGCCTCAAAAAAAGTTAATGAATGTGTTCTCAGGAAGCTCTCAGGCACTGCCCATCCTGAGGACATACCAAGGTGCCAGTGTGAACCACCTAAAGTAGGCAGACATGGAGCTCATTTCTCTCACCCGCAAAGCTTAATTAGCTTGCTGTCCAAACACAGCTTGAGAATATGGCCAAAACACAGGTATGGCCCTCGATTGCTAAAACCCAATCCATTGCAAGACACATTTTTTTTTTTTTTTTAAGGTGAGGAAGCAACATTAAAAAACGCCACTACTCGTGGAAGTTACAACTACTTCCAACAAACAACATGTAGAAAATACTGGGAGGGAGACTCTCAAAGTATCTGCTAGTTTCCAGTGGGAAGGCGTCAAGTCCTCCATGTTCACCAGATGGATATCAACATCTGACACGTGTTGGAAGACATCCATATCAACTCCACCAGCCTGAACTGCAAGTAGCCAAAAACAAAGCCGGAGAGGACATCTGTGATGTGGTGCCGTCCGATCATGACACGGGAAAACCCCACACAGAGGGCCCAGAGGACCAGCAGGATGCGGAGGGGGATGGCCAAGACCAGGTGGTTGAGGAAGAACTTGGAGAGCATGGCCACTCTGCTGGCGTGCCCGGCTGGGAAGGCGTAGGTGTCCATGGTCAGGTAGTCCAACAAGCCAGGGTTGATGTCGTACGGGCCCTTCCGCTTGGCCAGCTTCTGCAAACCAGCCACAATCATGATGTCCAGCAGCAGGGCTACAGAATGAGAGAATAAGAGGGAAGGGTCAGAGACAGAAGAAATCCAGGGCTATTTTCAAGGCAGAACCTCCAGGGATTGTTGCCTTTAAAGAAAAGGTTTGGGTTTGGTTCTGGCCAGATGTCCACAGTTCAGCTGCACACAACCCCCCCCATCCTCAGTTACCACCTGTCATGGTTTGAGAGCCCCAAAATCCAATTCCCTAGTTCCAGCCCCCCTCCCACATCTCAACCCGGTCCCTCAACCCAGGGAATTGGATTTTGAGGCTCTCAAACCATGACACCACCCAAATGTTGGTTAACTCTCCCAGTTCACTCACAGAGAAGGCAATTACCAGTACCATCATCTGACAGAGGAGAAACCCAAACCGCAGAGGCAAGCAATCCGCCTGGGGAGGAAGGGAGCAACTGGCAAAGCTAAAATTAAAACTCTTTTGGCCCTCAAACCACCACTCGGGGTGTTCCTCTTGCTGTCCTCCACCCCATGCTACAGAAACCTCATGCAGCAAGGTCCCTGCCTGGGGGCCTCTGTGCCAAGGTGACCAGGCTGCTGGAGGAAAAGTGCCCCACAGCACTTTCTGGTGTTGTCCCTTGTCCTCTCCCAAGCCTACCACGTCCTCCTGCCCTGAGCCAGCCAGCAGAATGACACCACACTCACAGATTTCACTAAGAAAAGAGCATTAGGAGCCAGTGAGCCAAGGGGAAAGCCAAGCAATAAAGAAAAAAGGGCTCCTGCATTAGAAACAGCATCACTGCAAGTTGAAGCAGAGGGTGGGCAATGTCCTCCTAGATGTCCCCCACCCATCCCTTTCCCTTTGCCGAAGTGCTGAACACCCACTTCTTGTTTCAACTTGCCTTTGGCTCCCTGTGGCTTTCTCCCTGCAAGTCACCCCACACACTCCCTTCCCTGCACAAACGTGGTGGGGGAAACTCACCTCCCAGCCCCGGCAAACCCAAGCTTGTAGTGGCACAGGGACCATCCCTCCAGCTGCAGCTCTCAACACCAAAACACCTTTCTTCCCTAACAGCTTTGGGAGTGAAACCCATCAGCACTCGTCTACATCCTCCTCCTCTTCATCCCACACCCTTCTTCCCAGCCGACAGGTACTGTCATTTCTATTTCCTAGCATCAATTTTATTTTTCTTTAATCCCCTCATCTGCTTTTCCCCAACCCTCCTAATTAGTCAGAGTGCTGGTTTCAGCTCCTCGCAGCAGTGACAAGGACATATATGCCATCACAAGCACAGCCCTGCTCCCCTGGCAGGAGCGTGAGGGGCCAGTTGCCTGGTTCCCAGCCCGTGATAAAGACCATTCCTTGAGAGCTGACAAGGTTTCAGGAGGATGGATGGGAGTGCGGCGGCGGTGGGGATGGGAAATGAGACAGCACAGGGGAGGAAGGCAGCTCCTCCTGCCTGCTCAGCACCTGGCAGGAGCTGGGAAGTGAGGAGCTGTCACGACGGCTCTGCTCACCCACCTCCCACAACATCCCACCCCTGCGCACCAGCCCCCAGCACTGCTTTGGGAAGGGGCTGGTATTTATCCTGGCCAAACTCTAGCCTCATGGGAGACTGCTTTTCTTCCTCATCTGCAGGGCACCTTGCTTGGGGAAGTGGGACAGCAGGACCTCCCTGGACCTCCTGCCCACCAGGTCATGCCCTGGGCTCTCAGAGCTGTGGAGGGCAGACGGAGCAGAGGAAGAGGTCTGGACACCATCTCCTTGCTGGCACAGGCAGCAGTGGGAATCCAAGCTAAACACAACAAGAAGCAGGAGGCTGAAAGTTTCATAGGTGGCACCTGAAACAAGGTGGTGAGGCTGCAGGTGGCAAGGGGCTGCAAGGTCACATCTCCAGCCCTGTAGTGGCAGGGAGGGGCTTAGGAGGACAAGGACAACAAGGGGCTGCTCAGATCCCACCAGGCATGACCAGCAGGAAGGGAGAGAGCAGGGGGAGGCCTGCAGCCCAGGGGGACCCCAGCACTCAGCAGAGCAGTTCTCTGCATTTTGCCGATTTTTGTTTTTAAGGGCACCCTGAAGGATCCCAGTGTCTCCTCCATGGTGTTCAATGCACCCACTACAGACCATTCCCCTCCAAACCCACCCATGGATCAGCAGCACAGATGCTGTGTGCTTTAGCAACGTGTGGTGTTCACCATTGCCCGTCTGTATTTCGCACTGACAATATTTTTTTACGGTCAAAGGTGATGTCAGGGCAACTCGAGGGATGCAGGCATGTGTGCACGGAGGTGTTCAGGGCATGGAGAACAAGCCAAAGAGCTGTTTTAATAATCCTTTCATTCAGAAGATGAATAAAATGGGCCTTCAGTACTGCTAGGTTTGATTTTCGTCAAACGATGCACAGAAAGCAAAAAGCCTCGTTTGCCCACATTTCAAGATCTGAAGGCATGACAGCACTAAAACCGGGGGTTAATTTGCCGTTAAAAGAAAAAAAACACAGCAAAGATCCCTCTCTGCCTGGTGCTTTTTCTGTCACTTCCCCCTGCACTTTCTGTTCCTTTCATGAAGCAACTTCTTTATGAAACAGCCCCAGCAGCCTGCCCTGCCCCGGCCCCTGCGGGTCCCACTGCCCTCACCCGGAGCTGGGTGCCCCTGCCCTCTCCTGCTCCTGCTGCTGCTGCTGCTGCTGGGCAAGAGCTGGCAGGGTGAATCAGCAGGCAGCACTGCTGCTGACGGTGCTGCCAAGAGCCCATCCTTCAGAAATAGATAAAGATGATACCATTGCCCAGCAGCCCCGGCCCTATTCCCTTGCAATCTCATGACCTACTTACCCCCTTGGACCTTGTCTCGCTTGCTTTGTCCCCTTAATGCACATCAAATCCTCCCTCCTCAGGTGGGCACATCCGTGCCAGTGATAGGCAGGTAAGGGGTTAACTTGATTACAGGTGCCCTCCACGACTCCAGCTGCAGGTGGGTGTCTCTGCACAGGGGAAGGTGCCTGATGGCTACCAAAGCTTCGAACCCGAAGCCCCTGAGCCCACCTGCAAACCGGCACCATCACCTTCAGCCTGCCCTTCCCTGGTTCTTCACACAGAGCCCTGCAAATCCTTCAGGCTGACCTGACTGAAGGCTGGAGGAAATACAGCCCCGGGAGAGCCCTGGGAAGGGAGCCTGCAGCTGATGTACCAGCCTGCACTTGCGCAAGGCTGCTCTCTGGGGACCCACGGGGCTGCCAGAGGCGCAGCAGGGATGGCAGAGTGCCACCGGACCGAGGGCGAGATGAGAGGAGCAAGAAATTTTAATTTTAAGCATTTTTTTCCATCATGCCCTTCCTCCAGATCCAGGTAGCATTGGATTTAAACCAGAGGCATCACTGGATGTAAAATCCAGATAGGGCTGGATTTAAGAGCAAAGGAAGGATTAGCTCTTGCCCATCGTTCCTTTCACATTTTTCTGCAAAAGATCACAAATTTTCCCTTTGACCTGGTGTTAAGGGAAACAATCCTTCAGATTTCCACTGCAAAACCATCCAATCCCAAAATCCTCTATTAACATCTAAAACTTCCTTAAAGCCCAAAACCAAAGAGCAAGACTTGTCTTGCCTGTGACAATTTGAGCATCAGAGATCACCTTGGTATTGAAAAAAACCTGACATCTGGCATTGGATGCACAGTAAATGAGCTGAAAGTGAGCCCCCTGGGCAGGCATTTTATATCTATTAATAAGAAAAGGAAAACAGACATCTGCCTTGCTCCTACCACCAAATTTTAGGAGCACATTAGGAGCAGAGAGGTGAGTGGAGAAGAGCTCTGGGCAGGCAGGGCATGAGGACGAACCTGAACCATCACCAGCAGAACCAAACCAAACCCTAAAGCTTGTATGTAAGAGAAATCAAAACAGTTGGACATCTTTCTGTCCCTGAGGTGCCACCTCTGCTGCTGTTCCTTATGGCTGAAAGAGGCTGAGGATGGTGCAAGCACCTTGGGGGCATTGCCTGCTCCAGGTTGGAGCCAGGCAGTGTCTCCAGGGACAGAGGCAGATGCCAGTTGAGGTGTTTATATAAACATGTTATCTAAACCACAGCTGAAAAACAACCTGGGTGCAGTGCTGGGGTCAGCGGAGGGGGGGAAAAGAGGAGAAAGCCAAAAAAGCCCTTGGCCTTGTCTCCTGAAGCCGTGATTCACATGACTTCACACGCGTGGGGCTGCTCTCCAGGGTCCCAGCCTGTGAGGTTGGGATCAGCAACAGTCACAAGCTGGACTTGGCCTCCCAGAACTGTGGGTGAGCATGTGGGGAGAGGAAAATGGGGAGGTAAATGCCCAGGAATGAAGAGGGAGCCCATCCCCAGAGCTCAAGAGGCTCCCAGCATGGGAGCAGAGGTGCATTAGACAACCCCTCTGCTCAGCCCAGCACTGCTTTAAAGAAGAACTAAGCTGGTGATAACCCATTGCCTGCACCCCACTGTGCTGGAGGTGGCCACTACAGCTGCCAAGACCACGTATAGGGCCAAAACTGGTTTTGAAGGTCCTGTATTTCCCAGACTAGCCAGCCTCAGTCAGGAGTGAACTCTGGATAAATGTCACCATTCCCAGGAAGCAGTTTCCTTTGCTCCATAATTAGAATTCACAATTCTTTCTTTCGTTTTTCTTTTTACTTACATGCCCCCTCCCACTCCTTCTGAACTTCCCAAATCACCCGCAGGCATCAGGCTCCCTGACCTGGAAAATGAGCCGTTTGCAGCCTTGACTAGTTGACATTAATGAAAGATGCAGGTTTCAAAAGAATCTTCACCCTCTCTCCAGTGGAGTCAGTGGAGGAGGGTTGGAAGAGGTCCACTCCTCTGGAAGTGAACTCCTCTACTCTATTTTCCTCCCCAAACGTGGTCCTATGGTGTGTAAGAGCTGACAAAAGGCACAGATGGCACGACACATTGAAGAGCCAATGAATCAGGCACTGTGGTGTTTTGAGGGGGGGGTATTTTTTGGCTGAACAAGCAGCAGCGTGGGGTAAGTGGTCACGGGGAGGTGAAAAAATGGTGGAAAGCAG